GGGGGCGGGGAGAGGAGATACACTGGCGGGAGGAGAGGCGCCTTTCCACCTGAACACCTTCTCCAGCTCAGCCCTCCTTCCGCTGGGGATCTGTCTATCCCGGTGCCTTCCAGGGATGCTTACTCATAATCCGTACAGTTTATCCTCTCCGAGAAAGGGCGGGCGTAGAACCTGCCGTGGCTGGACAGAGGTCTGTAGACAAGGTCAGCGGAGTACTCCACCATGGTGCCCGAAGTCTGCAAGAAATCAGACCAGGAGAGGGAACATCAGAACGCAGAGGCTTTGAAGGAGGCGGCTCGGTCCAGCTCCTTCCTGCGCTTTCAATTGCAACCCTCCTCGCCCGCCATAGGCAACCTGTTGGTGGTGAGAGGGCGTGAGAAGCCACATCCCCCAGCCATGGGAAGGCCCCAGTTTGAGCAAGGGTGGTCTACTCATCAGGGTCAAGCTGGCTAGAGAAGGTGCTTGGTTTAAGTAAGCCAAGCAGCATTTGGATGACAAGATGCTGGCCACTTGATGACGTCTCCTTGCACATCCCTCAATGCCACTTAATGTGCTCAGAATTCCTACATTAAATAGGGGGCTGAAAGACACATTCAAGTAGACAACATGTTTCCCAGGCTTACATTTTCTCCCAGCAATGCACGATACTTTGCTCTGCATGTCACCAGAGTTAGAAATGAAAAGGATGCTTTAAGTTCGGTGAATATATCAACGATAGTTTTGCCTTTCACAGTCAGACATTTTTCAACATGTGAGGAAAGCACTGTTTCTAGTTACGGAATTAGTTGCTTATCAAGGGAGATGAGCCTCTGAACAAACTGTGTGTGCCTTAATGGTCAAACGGCAGCACTGCAGCCGAGACTCTGCTCACAACCTGAGTTCAATCCTTGACTCAGCCTGCCATTCTTCTGAGTTAAGGTAAATTGAGTACCCAGCTTGCTTTGGGGGGGGGGCAATGCGCAGCCTGCATAATTAAACTGTAAATCACCTAGAGTGCTTTAAACACTTATGGGGTGGCCTATAAGGAACATGCTTTGCTTTGCCTTACTATGTAGTAAATAAAGGCATGCCGGTGAGATGGGACCAACCCAATATGAATGTTGCCAGCTGGCAGGAGGAGCATCTCCAGAAGCTTCTTTGCCTTTACCAGGCTCCCTGAATGCACGTCGGTGACCGTCGGCGCTCCTCTACCTGGCTTCCTTTGGCAAAGGGGGGGCCCTATACCCACCCAAGAGGTCCACATTTTTCAGCTCCAGCCTGGCAGCCGGGGTCCCCTTTTCCCTTCCCAGGCTGGCTCCCTGGCACACTCACCAGCCGGGCGAATCCACACGCTTTGAAGGCATACTGGAAGTGGAGAAGGCCCTGCTGAGGGCTCTCTGAGGAAGGCAAGCAGGTGCCCATCTGCAGGTGTTGCGGGTTCAGCCGGAGGCCGGTGCCCCAAGGGTCCGTCTTGATGACGAGATGGATGCTGGTCTTGTTGCATTCGTAGAGGACGGGGGAGGCTGGCCCTGAAGGACGGGGAAACTTCAGACACAGTGGAGGAGCAGCAGACGCTCTGCAGCCTCACCTGTTCTTTACAAGGTTGGCGGAATCCTACATCTCAGGGAAGGGGAAAGGCAGGGAAGCAGCGCTTCGGCTTGTCCTCTCTCCTCACCTAAAGTCTCTGAGCGCCCCGCACGGCTGCCGTTCTCACCTCACCACCTTCACGATGAAGAGAAGGCCAACGAGGCGTTTTCGATGCTGTGCCTTTTGCAAAGCAGGAGCCAAACCAGGCACACCCAAAAAATAAGAGGCCCCTCAAGAAAGTTCATGAAACACAGAGCTGCAGCACCCTAGAGATCATCTAGTCTAACCCTCTCCAGAAGTACGGCTGCATCCTCACAGGCTCACAGCCCCCCCCCCGTTCCTAACCCAGGAGCTCCCCCCTTCCAGAAGGGAGGGGGCTTCCGCTTTGCAAAACGGCTCCTTTCAAACCAACGAAGAGGGCCAATGCCTGGAATAAGCTGTAGTAAATGGTAAAGCAGAATTCGGACTATTCTGGATTCCTTGCAGCAGCTTGCAGGAAGAGCGAGCTTGCAAACCTACAGCTGGAAGCACTTCCTGCTAGGAACTACAGTAAGCCTTAAAGCAGACTTTTTAAAAATGTTTTAAAGGAGGGGGAGAGAAATAAAACAACACCTTGGTGTCATTAGAGAGGGTGTGTTCACCTGGGGAAACTCCAGAGACAAGGCTGAACTCGATCCCGGGACCCAAGAGTACATCCACAAAAGTATTTCTTAAAGAGTTATTTTAACTTCCTTCCTTCTGAAAGTCATGGAATGCCTTTCCCGGGACCGAAGTATAAGTTTCCCCATGGATGGCACCACAATACACACAACCCCCCTCTTTCCTTCTTCCTGTAACCTGTGCCTTAAAAGGAGCTGAAAAGACCAGGGTTATTCTTGGGGGGGGGGCAGGTGGCATGCCTTACAGAAGGCGGGTGATCTTTAATGTCACGTTCCCCCGAATCCAGTCCTTCCAAGGAGAGCTTTTCCCTTGCACCTCTTGCTCCCGAGGCATCCTATTGACTCCTCCCGGTCATTCCCCATTTTACACACAGAAGTCTAGAGTTCAAAGACCACAACTAAGGAAAGAAGCAGGCGAGGGGGGGGATCACTCACAGAACCAGGCAAACTCTCCAGCTCAGACCCCCAACACGGAGAGAATACAAACCTGGCTGAGCCGCCACCGCCTCCTCCAGACTCCAGGCTAAGATCACAAACAGCCTCACATACAACCCCATATTGGTCCTTCGGGGCTGACAAAAGGCGCTGCCTCTTCTGCACCGGGGAAACATCCCTTTTATACTCACCTTCTCAAAAAAGGCCTCGCCCCCTTTCCCAAGCCACCCTTCCTTGGGATCAGCCTGCAGTTCCACAGGTAGGGAGACTGGTTTGCCTCAGCTGAAGGCGATCCTGGGGGAAGACTCTGGGGATGAGGAGAAGAGGGAAAGGGCGGTGGTGGTGGGTGGAAAAGAGCAGTGGGGTGCAAGGGTCACAGACCTAACAAACAGCTGATTTTTCAACAGCTGGGAACCTATGGAAGAAGTGTTCCTGGGGGCCGACTTCGGCAGCTGAGCAGTTACTGTAGTTTCTATCCCCATGTCTAGTCACCGAGGGGAAAAAGGTGCCTAAGCAGGAGAAATAGAAAAAGGTGCAGGCCACCAAGTGGGGTGAAGTGCAGGGTTAGGGCTCAGGAGAACTGCTCAAGCAGTTTGGAAATCCTGTGCAGCCACGGAAAGTCCCTGTATATGTGTTTGTTTGTTTGTGTGTGTGTGTGTAACAGATAACACCACTCCTTCAATATCCCTCACCTTGAGAGCCCTCTTAGGGTTGCTCTGAATCGATCATAATTCGATGGCTCAGAAGGCTAAAAAGGTTTAATTAAAACAACAGGTGCAAGTAAGTCATTATTACTTAAAGCTGACACCCCTTCTACTACCGTGTTACATAGATGGCTAGCCAAGGATTCCCTAGAGTACTCCTCTAACCTTCTCTCTCTTTGTGCCTCTTCAGAAGATGGATGAAGTGAGCTGATGGACGGCACCCCTGAATGTCCTTGGAAAGTTCCTAATTTGGGGCAGTCACCAGAGGCTCCCTGTTCCCATCCCCTTCTGGACCCTTCGTCCTGCCCTGTCTGGAGGCCTTACACCTGCCTCTGGGAAGGCCTCCATCATCACCCTCTGGAGGACGGAAGGATGTAACCAGAGAGGAAGAGCCCCCATCAGCCACCAACCTGCGTGCCTTTCCCCTCTTTCCTTTCCCCCTAGTCTCCACTCCCCACAAGCAAACTTCCTTCCGAGGGGGGCACAGAGAACCCCGTGTCCCGCCTGGAAGGGACACCCGAATCCTCCCGCCTGGGCCGTTCAGCGGATCCCCCCTCTAGCCCTGGATCCCTGCCCTTGATGGAAACCAGGGGGCTCCATCCTTCCCCCCCCTCCCTGCTGTCCCTGGCCTCCCACACTCACCACGATGGCCCAGGTGAGCTGCTCCGTGCGACTGGGGGGCCGGAGGACGCCCTCCCCCTTAGGCCGGCTGAGACGGCCCGAGGGCAGGCCAGCTTCTCCCACCGGTGGCGCTTTTGGAGTCCCCAAAACCGGCTCTTCCGGGGGGGGGCAGTCCGGCAGAGCCCTCCGAGGCTGGGGAGGGATCCACCCTCCGGGGACGACGGGAGAACCTCTTGGGTGGCAGAAGCCCACTCGCTTCCTGGACCCTCAGGGCTCCACAGCCGGGGGTCGAGGGGGGG